GCTCAGAGAGAAGAAATATTATATTAGAAAAGAAACAAAAATAATCTAGCCGTAATTATTATAACGCCTATTCATTTGAACTACAGCATCTCTAAATATCGAGACATGTTATGCTAGATACTATACCAATACATGAAGACTAATCCTGTCAGAGTGCACTTTTGACTGGCATTAGGACTGAATATGTCCAAGTATTAAATACTCACTGGCATATAGCTCAGAGGTGGAGAAACCACTGTGTGGCTTCCCTCGATCCACAGCCAGGAGAAGCTAGCTGGGAGCTGTGACTGGGCAGGGAAAAGCCTGTTTGAAGTGAATGGGTGGGGGGACAAGTAAAGAGAAAGGAGTGAAAAAAAGAATAATTATGAAGACGACAAAATGTCGTATATATTTCACTGAATTGGATCAGGGGGAGTTGTGTTAGTACTCATGTGAGGACAGAGCTAAGACCCAGCAGGCTTGCTGCATGTATGCCACAATGGATCAGAGTTGGGACACAGTGGGCATCCTGCATGGGCTAGGTAAGTGCTGACAGACCGTTTCAAATGAAATAATTCAATTCAAATGAATACCAAGGGGGGAGGAGAAATTGAGCCAGAGTTTGGTGAGGAGAGGCAGGTGTGTGGGGAGGGAGATGGTTGCCGAGCACTAAAAGCCAATTCCCTATGCTCATTAGTGGTTATTTGGTTTTTTAATTGATTCCCTTGGACCAGCTAGCCAAGTTCACAGGGGCACTACAGCAGGGGTAGGCAATTTTTTGGATGGAGGGCCACTTAACAAGTTTTGGGGAGCTATTGAGGGCCTCATAGGTAGTCTGGCCCCTTGACAATTGCCCTGCCCCTCTGTTGCCATTTTGGGACCAGAAGTCCCACTCGTAACACCTGACCTTTGCCACCAGAAGTCCTTCCCCTTTCCTCCCAGGAATACTCCTTTTGGGAGGGGAGATTGCCATCTTGGAGCCAGAAAAAACAAATCATGTACTAAAAGTCAAATATCTACTATAGCATATTTTAATTTTATTACAAAAAATATTTTGTCATGATTTGTGTTTGCCTAGTGTATATAGAGGTGGTTGCATAACTCAAAAATAAATACTTAGTTTTGTTTATAGTGGGGGGAGGGCATGTGTGTGTGGTGTGGGGGGGGGCATGGTGTGTGTGTGGTATGGGTGTGATCTAAGGGTGGTGTGTGTGGTATGGGTGTAGGGTGTTTGATATGGATGTGGGGGGTATGTGTGCATGGTATATGTGATGTGGTATGTGTGTGAATGTTGGATATGCAGCACTGTCCAGAGCCATGCCCTGCCAGGAGCCTGTGCCCTGAGCGCCACACCTGCTGCTTCTGCCACCACCTGGCAGGGCTGTGCACCATGGGGTGTGTCAGGGAGGGTGCCCACACCCCCACTCTCCATCATACCCATATGCTGCCCACCACAGCTCCGTGCTGCTGCTGCTGCCTGTTGCCTTGGGCACAGGCTCTGCACTTCCACGAGACCCAGCCCCATGCTCCAGGCTCCCTCCCAGCTGCAGCACCACCCCTGCTGCTTCCCTACCTGCTGTCCAGAGCCAGCAGGAGACCAGGAAAGAGAGCAGGTCCCAGGGGCTGTGGCAGCAGTAGTTCTGCATGGAAGCTGCACACTGCCTGGCAAGTCCCTTCCACCCACAATGGTGGGAGCCAGGCAATAGGGTATGTTTTGGGAGCTGCGTGTACATGTGGGCACCATGCTTGCAACCTCATAAGCAGAAGAGCTGGGCAGAGTACAATTTGTTGGGGAGCCCGGCAGACCAGATGGAAGTGCTTGGTGGGCCAGATCTGGCCTGTGAGCCTTATTTTCCCCACCCCTGTACTAAAGCAAGCTCCAAACTAGTGAGCTGCACCGGGGCACTAGGAGTAGTCAGGGGTCACACATCTTTGGGGCAGGAGTGGGTGTTGGTTTGGAGCCAGAGCCATCCTCTGCACAGTAGACTTCAGTGAGGTTGAAAGTTTGCCCATAGAGCAAAGGAGTGTGAAAGGCGGGGAATGGTGCATCCTGGGATGCTGGAAGAATCAAAACACAACATCTTATCTCCCTGAAGCAGATTAACAATAGCCTGGAATGACCTGGGCAAAACAGATCAGAGATAACCTTCTCTAATTTGCCATACCTTTAAAATGTTTAGAGGGTTTTTAGCATAGTAACATTTAAACACACTTTAATGGAATAATGGTCCCATTTTAAGTGCTTTTCTGATGATTTAAAGGCAACCTGTAATACCATCCTTATTTTCAGCCATAAAGTCTCAGGCCTTTTTCAAGAGTATCTAAACAGACCTCCATACTACTATCATTAAATAGGTGGTTACAGTGCTTTCTTCATGGGTGTGGAACCTCTTTTTAAGTATTCACTTAATTATATCTAGGGCAAAAAAATGAAACAAGTCTCCCTCTTCTCAGAAGAGGGCCCTAACCACCAGCTTCTGGAGATTCTAAGTTGGGTTTCTCTCAGTCTCTCCTGTTAAACTCATTCCACCCTGTAGCAATGAATTCATTGGAACTGGGACATGAAGGTGACCATCTAATTTCCAGAGCTATATAATTTTACATATGGAACCGTTGGGATTACAGATTTACCAGAAACACATAGTCCTGTGTTGCTTTGATAACTGGCCCTTCAACAGGACTCCATTGAACATCCATAGGGTCAGGTCAGAGTTTATCGGGGGTTTTGAGCATCTCACCCATGCTTGAAAGATGGACTTGCATCCCTAAGTTCCTCTACTGTCAATTCCTTAATGTTAACAAAAGTGAGTACAATTTTTCTTATTGCCTTAAGTCATAGTAACATTACAATGTGTTATGGGCTCTTGTGAATTTATTCTATTGAAGAATAGTTACCATAACAGCAATATAGCTTTAAAGAAACAAATTAAGAATAATTATCTAATGGGATGGCTATAAGTTAATAGGGTTTAAAATATGTGTGTTGTAAAATATGCCACCTGCTTCTTTGTAACTGGTCACAAGTTCATCCCTTGGTAAGTGTGAGGTAACTTACCATTCAGTTGTCACTTCTACATGCACAATTATAACACATGAATAAACTGTGGAGCATATCGTTCTGGAGTTTAGTGCTCCCAGGCATGCTGTTTGAATGTGTGTCCAAGAGAAATTAACTCTGGAGTAATACGCTCCACAGTTTATTCATGCTCAGCATGTGGAGCCAGGTTAGAGCAGCCCCAGCTGACAGGGAACCTGGGTGGTCAGTCTGCCAGCCCAGGGATGGTTCCTGTGGTTCAATGTGCTGCAGAGGGGCTGGCTGAGGCATGAAGAAGCTTCAGTGTGGGGGCTAGGCAGTAGGCAGCCCCCACACTGAAGCAACCTTGTGCCCCAGCCAGCCCCTCCAGCATCTACACATATGCTCCTGCAGAGTTTTTTACTCCACAGCAGGATAGGACTTGTAAATACTCTAGGCTAATAGGGGGTGCGTAGACACCGAAACATTTACTATGCAGCTAATTAGTGAACTGCAGTAAATGTCTCGTGTACATGTGCCCAGTAGCAGTGGAATAAGCTACTTCATATTTACTACACAATAGAATCATTAAGGCAGTTGCCACAGAGTAGCTCTCGTGCTCTAAATCCATGTCCAATCTTACCTTGTTTTACCTTTTATTGAAGACCCTAAGAAAAATATTAAGGGATCATGTCATCCTAGATCTTGTTGAATGGTGGCTTACACCGTGAATATTCATACTGAAACTAGAGAGACTGCATGCTGAGTAGGGTACAACTCCAGTGTAAGTAAAGGCATCTGTTTGTTCCTAAGCAGTTTCAGGCAGATCAACTACTAGTCAGCTTGACAAAAGATTAAGTATTATATTCCATTTACCTTCACAGTGAGGCACGTCATTGCTCCATCCATCAGCCAGACATTCACGGAAATTGCTTTGACTTAGCATCCGGTACCTTAACAAATGAAAAGCAGAGTATATAATTCTAAAACACAGTAAAATTGTTATGCTGTTATCACCAAAACAGTATAAAGTAATTTCCTTCTGCTCTAATACAGATTAACCCAACATGTCCTTCTAAAAAGAAATGATTCTTTCTAACCAGCTTTTCTGAATTTTTGTTAATCTTCCTATTCATCACAGCAACTAGAAGAAGTATCAGTACAGCCTTGTTGGGTGTGTACAGTCAGTTGCTTCACCTGGTCTACATTCATGTGGCTTGCTGAAGCCATGTGAACATAGACCGGAAGCAACATGCACAGGCACTCACCAGTCCAGGAAGCTACGTGGTTAAACCAGAGTAAGTAACTCAGGGTATCGTGGGTGTAACTGGGGGAGAAGCTAGTGAGTACACATGGCCATGTTGACTGGTCCAGAGTGGAGGGGTTGACAGGATCTAGGGTGCTGGAGGGGGGCAGGGGATCAGTGGACCTGATCTAGGCCAGTGGGGTTAGCAGGGTGGGTGGGGTGTTTACACCAAGATACAGCCTAGAGTGGCTACACCTAGTGCAACAGGAGCTGGGTAGCAAAGATCAGAGATAATCCTGCCCTGGA